CTGACATTCTGCCGCAGATAACTGTCTCTGTCTCTGTCTCTGGTCACATGTTAAATCACTTGAGGTAAACTATTTGAAGGCAAAGGGCCAGCTTCTCTCAATCTGTAGAAGGAAATATGGTTTGACTGACAGCTACCCACCCCTGGCTTCCCTCGGGGGGTGGATACAAGGTGGAGCTCGTCATGTTTTTATAACGCACTGTTTGTCTTTACGTGCGACAATTATTCTGATATAAATCTACGATACTCTATTGTCTGGGAAGTTAGACCAGATAATGTGTGGCTGCTACGGTAACGCCTCAGCTTTACCTTGTGTAATGCACACCCATAATTATTGAATAGTGTGTTTTAACTCAAGCGTCCCATTGACACTGAGTGTCTTTTTTAGCCAATTGAAACATGAGACTAATTTAATATTTAATATTTAATTTAAAAAATAACCCAAAGCAAACTTGCTATTAGGTATTGCTAATTTTTCTCTTGTTTGTTGACAGACTTTAACAACATTAATACAACCCTCACAAAAACAATCATTTAAATGAAGATGATAATCGTCCACTTTTGAACTTCACTTCTAAGAGTCTCACTAACCCTGTTGTCATTTTGAAAAATGTCTACCTCATTAATAAACACTGTATTTAACAATAGGTAATGTAAAGGGTTTGGTGTTGTATGATTTGTAACCGCAACAAACGTAAGCCATGATGTACAGAGTAAATTAGTACTTATTCGTCACCTGTGGTTACGTGATGGACCAGTCATTACCAAGTGTAATCCCACCTTCATGTGGTTGTAGAGAAGTTGAAGAAGACGAGCGGAGAAGAAATACTCTCCATCATTTTGTTAGCAGCATGCTAACGTGAATCTATACGAGTCGACACGTGCGCTAAACCCTGACGGTTCTGTTGGTTTGTGACAGACAATAATGGATGATACAATCGTTTGTTTTGCAGAATGCTCAGAGTTCTGATCGTAGGTCAAATCAGTTGAATTAGAATCTTCCACCAAACACATCGATACAACCAACGGACACATCACAGTTACCAGAGAAGATGTCGACGGGGACACGCTGACTTCACTGGATGTGCAGTACACAGGAAACACTCGGACTCACATCACTCTCTACAACACAGACTGGGAGTTATACCCTGGAGGCTAATGAGGGCACGTCACCTGGTGCTGATGTGCTCTGACACTGGTCGACTTTAATGTTCTGACGTAGAGCAGTTTGGGAGTATTTTCAACACCAACTTCAAAACAATGAACCGAACTAAAACCTATGATGGAAAAAAATAAGAAATGTTAGAAAAATAAACCCAAACCTTAAGAATAAAAACATCTCTCTCTCTCTCTCTCTGTGTGTGTGTCTCTCTGCTCCGTTACCACTGTGGTGACATTTTTGTACACTGACTGGGTTTCCTGTTCTGCTACCTGCTGCGTTTGGCCTGGTGATAAAAATACACAATGGTTTGGAGGTAAGGAGTGCCTGAACTTGCTCTGCATGTGTGAGCTGCCCTGTTGGTTCACTCCCCCTTACCCCCACCCCGGCTCTCACCCCCCTACAGAGCCCTGACCTGTATATAAAGCAGCTGAGATGCTACAGCTGAAAGGAAGAGCCCAGCAGACCGAGGCCTCGGAGCATCATCTTCACCATCATCCTACACCGCAATCATGGGGAACTGCTGTGAGCACTTTAGGAATTTCTTCTGCGGGAACAAGAACACCAACGTGCGTGTCAGTCTGCCGGCCGTCTGCTTTGTGTGGCAGATCGCCATGATTGTACTTTTTGGGGTTTTCATTCGCTACGACGAGGAGTCGGACAGTCACTGGTCCGAGGTGAAGAAACACCACAACATCAGCAGTGACATTGAAAACGACTTCTACTACAGATATCCCAGTGAGTTTGACATTTGGTAGAGTTTTTTTTTTTTTTTACATTTATTTAAATAAATTATTTCAACCAAGAATTTCATCCGCCAAAATGTTAATTTCCAAGTTAGCTTCAGATAATTGTTTGGACGTGCATTCAAACATGTGTATTTAAAAAGACATGATTTTAAAGTTGATTTTTCATGATGTTCCTCAAGGTCAAGTTAATTCATTCATTCATTTGTCCACATCACCACCGCTCCAACTGCCCATCACCGTGTCACTGTTTTCCTGCCAACTTCTCCAGGTTTCCAAGACGTCCACGTCATGATCTTCGTTGGATTCGGTTTCCTCATGACTTTTCTGAAACGCTACAGTTTTGGAGGAGTAGGCTTCAACTTTCTGATCGCCTCCTTCGGCCTCCAGTGGGCGCTGCTCATGCAAGGCTGGTTCCATACCCTGGATCACAGCACTGGGAAAATCTATATTGGAGTTGAAAGGTAGGTTCATTCATCTTCTCTCAGAGGAAAAATCAGATGAAAGTCTAAAAAGATATTGAGGTTCCATTTTGATGTTGATGAGACTTTTTTTTCCTATAGATTCTTTTTTTTCATATATATTTGATACAGCCTGTGTCAGTGACTTTGTGTAAATGCGTAAATACATTTTAATTTTTTTATGGTCCTGTTTGAATTCAGTTGACTGGAAAAACCAGTCACATTCTTTCAGCCCTTGTAGTAGAATTCTTTGCGGTGTGTACTGCTGTAGTACTTTTAAATTAACAAAGTTGCCAAGTTAAAAGATTTTATTAATTATTTTATGAATCCAAATTTAACTTGAGATATTTTGTTAATTTAAAACACACAAAAAAAGCATTTTTGTCCTGGCACTTCATGACATGCCGTGCTACAGTGGATCAGAATCAGACGCTGACAGGGGGCGCTCTCCTGCAGACCAGCACTTGGGGCACAGGGCCTCAGGTGATGTAGTTAATTATAGTGTGTAATGATCATATAGAGAACAGAACATAAACATCCAAATTGTTGGACTGGAGAATGTCACGCAGCTAACACAACCCATTTTAAATTCCTTTAAGCGCACTGACATATGGTTCGACAGGTGGCGCTCCACTCGGGTGTGGAGGTGCGGCCGCTCCATCCGATGTATAAACCTGTATTTTTATGTATTTGGTTCCACAGTTCAGTTCAAATGGAACATTTTATACCACTCACTTTAAGTTATATATATAGTTTTATATATACATAGTTTATAGTTAAAATATGTATTTCTGTATCTATAGATAGATGGATTATATATTTATATATATATAAGAAATATATATGTGTAAATATCTATATTTATATTGTATATATATATATTATATACTATATTTACTTATGTATTAAATATATTTGGGTGTGTCAAGAGTTAAAGCAAGCCAAATACAAATTCAAACCACACCGCAGTTATGTTTGTTGTTAATACTACACACCCGACTTAATCCCGTCTTTGTTCTCGTGTGTCACAGTCTGATCAACGCAGACTTCTGCTGCGCCGGCTGCCTCATCGCCTACGGAGCTCTGCTGGGGAAGGTCAGCCCTGTCCAGCTGATGGTCGTCACCTTGTTCGGCATCACTCTGTTCGCTGTGGAGGAGTTCATCATCCTCAGTCTTCTCCACGTGAGTGTCGGGACCAGAGGTTGTTCTTCAAAATGAATGCTAGTAACAGCAACAGGTTAGCCCAGTGTTAGCTGCCCATTAGAACGATGTTTGGTTGGATCATTGTGGAGCATTTTAGCTGAACGTGCATATAAAGAACCAGCACAGTATGAATATGATTCTGGCCACGCTGCATATTTATGAATTTTTTAAATGACTTTAATGATTTTTTTTTAAATGTCATAATCAGTGCCGAGATGCTGGAGGCTCGATGGTCATCCATGCCTTTGGAGGATACTACGGACTGGCCATCTCCTGGGTTCTCTACCGACCAAACCTGCACCAGAGTAGACGTTTGAACGGCTCGGTCTACCACTCAGATGTGTTTGCAATGATTGGTGAGCGCCACCTGTTGAATATTTAATTTTTTGCAACACTATTTACTTTAATTGTCAGATGGGAGTCCAGTTTAAGGTAGTCCAGTTTAAGGTAGTCCTGGCCCAAAAGCCCCCCCCCCACAGGTACTCTGTTTCTGTGGATGTTCTGGCCCAGTTTCAACTCGGCCATCACGGACCACGGAGATGGGCAGCACCGCGCGGCGATCAACACCTACCTGGCTCTGGCCTCCTCCGTCCTGACCACTGTGGCCATCTCCAGCATGTCTCAGAAGAAAGGAAAACTGGACATGGTAACGTAGCCGTGCTAATACGTAAGTAAATCTATAAGCAGAGTAAACAGGACTGTTTGTCTAACGGGTCATTTCTACCCGTCAGGTCCACATCCAGAACGCCACCCTGGCTGGGGGCGTGGCCATGGGAACAGCTGCTGAGTTCATGATCACTCCTTATGGGTCACTCATCGTGGGCTTCTGCTGTGGAATCATCTCCACCTTCGGTTATCTGTTTGTCTCTGTGAGGCTTGTTTTTTTTATTTAGTTTTTCTGGTGATCTCAAACACTGGTTCATTTTTAAAGGTGCATTCTGGAAGATTTGGGTGCAGAATGTCCAGGTTAAAACAGGTTTTTTCAGTCATATTTGGGAATGTTGATTAATCGTGATTAGTCTACAGCTACCCCATGATTAATTAGATTAAAATGGGCGGGTCGTTAGGGTCCACTGACCATCAAGCTAAAAAATCAAGGGCTGCAATTCAGAGTTGTTACCATCAGGGGGCAGCACAGTTCCTGCTGTGGTCACCACCAGCTGAGCAGGTTTAACAGACATTGTAACATTCTCCAAACATGTTCCACATCTGCTGTGCTCACATTAACAGTAATTAACCTAAGATTAATTATTATTATTATTTTATTTTTTTTTAGCCCTTCTTAGAAAAATATCTCAAGCTCCAGGATACGTGTGGCATTCACAACCTTCATGCTATGCCTGGGATGCTGGGGGGCTTCATAGGGGCCATCGTTGCTGCAAGCGCTACAGAAGAGGTCTACAGTAAAGAAGGGTAGGGGGCTGACTGTGCAGTGAGGAAGACGTCCACTTCCTGTCCGGTTTTTTCACCTGTCTCCACGTCTCTGTCCAGGTTGATCAGCACCTTCGACTTTGAGGGTAAATTTGAAAACCGAACAGTGGGGACACAGGGCGGCTACCAGGCTGCAGGGACGTGTGTCTCCATCGCATTTGGATTAGTGGGAGGAGCAATTGTTGGTGAGTTAATTGTTGTTCTTTTTCTCCCCCGTTCACTCTTAATTGTAGCCTGGGCCACTTAAAGTCTACCGTAAAGAAAATACTTCCATGCTATAGCTAATGTTAGGGATGTCCCATAATATCGACCAACCGGTGTCCTCCGCTGATGTCAGTATAATAATGTAAGAATCATTAACCTTTTTTTCTTCTGATGATATAAACCCAATAACCAGTTTCACCCAGATGATGTGACCTAAAAATAGTTTTGAAGGAAAAGTTGTTGTGACACCTCTGCCTTGATGGTATCCTTGATATCGGAGTTGGAAATGAGGTGTTTGATAATCGTAGGTCAGCGGTGTCACGCTCATTTTCTCCGGGGGTCTGACTGATTAGATCAGGCAAACATTTTTTGTGCCGCATAATTACTACAATTATGTAGTACATCAAAACAAAACAACAGTAATTCATTTAGCTGGAGGGAACAACACGGCTAATTAAAAATCAAAAGTAGTAGTGGAAATACCGCACTCAGATAACAAAAATAACTCCTGAACTACGTCCAAAAAAAATGTTTTGAAATAATTTATTTTTGTTTATTTATTTATTTGTTTTAATGTCATTCAGGGCCAGTGACTCAGTGGTTGTTGACAGAACAGGATTTTATTTCTTTCTTTCTTTTCCAGCGTTATGATCCATGTCTGAATTCTGTCCACAGGACTGATTTTGCGGCTGCCGCTCTGGGGCGGCCCCGCCGATGACAACTGCTTTTATGAAGAGGTGTACTGGGGGGG